TTTTTAATGTTCATACAGAGATTTCTTTAACTGAAATACTGAATAGTTTCTTTGGTGTGAAAAACTATAATAGTACACAGGATCCTAATGAGATAATTAATAATGTGAAATAGGAAGTAAAGGGCTAAAGGTGTAGGGAAAGTGGGAAGGGTGCGGGAATGGTAATAAGGGAGAGGAAAAAAATATGAGAAACTGAAAAAATGGAAATAAAGTGTTTGTAAATGGGGAGGGGAGGAGGGGGTGAAGGGAGGGCAGGGACAAAGGGAAAAATGAGAATCAAGACCTATTATGTAAAGGTACAGGATCCCAATGATGAATGTAATTGTATTGTATACCGAGATTGTACCAATAAACTCAATAAAAAGAAGAAAAAAAAAAAGGGAAGGGAGGAGGGCAGGGACAAGGGGAAAAAATGAGAACCAAGACCTGTCACATAAAGGTACAAAATGACAATGATGAATGTAACTGTAACATTTTCAGTGTTTATGAGAACCAAAAACACATTCATTTTTTTCCCCCCTCAGGAAGCCATTCCCTTCCAATGAAGTCCAAATAATCCAGAAAGCAGGAAGGAGCAGGAGGTTCCATTTGGATTAATATGCCTGGATTAGCCATAGTTATAAGTAAAAATTATGAAAAGGGAGAATTCAGAAACCAAAACAAATTTTTAAATAGCTCAAATATCTACCCAATAGTTAATTCCCAGAAATTAACAAGACTGAAACAAACAGCCCTTCCAGGATTTCCAAGTAAGTCCCTTTTTTGTTTGTGTTTATTTGTGTTTTTGGTACCGGGGATCGAACTAGGGCCCTCACACTTTCGAGGCAGGCAGCGAACCACTGAGCTAAATACCTAGCCGTAGGCCCCATTTTTGAATACACAGCTGTCTGGTTCTCATCCATGACCCAAGCATCACAGATACTACAGGATGACCTGATGAAAACAGAATTGATGCCTTGATCAGAAACCTCAGATAAGCATTAAAACCCCAGCAACTCCAACCCCAGCCCTGCTTCTCTCATACCATCAAAGCCATGTAGAGAGAAAGCAAAATTTCCATGAATCCTACCACAATGATCCAGATGTCCTCCCTATCGCCAGCAGGTTCTAAAACAATGTACCTTCACACATTCAGGACCAGACTTTTTGGTGTTTAATGTACTGTTTTTCCTGTATCATATTTAGAGGTAGTCAACTGAAATTCAAAGGGCCATCTCTGCCTAAGAACATGCTTTGTTTGCTTGGTATAGTGATGAAAATAATTTTAGTAAGTTGCAAAAAGCTAGAAATTGCAATTTTTGCATATAAATCTAAATCCCCCCCCCACCTCTCTTTAAGAGTAGGAAAAATTTTATTGAGAAAGATAAGGTTCTGTCTAAAAGAGACAGAAGTGGGACTGGAAAAGGGGTTACCCCTTAAATCTAAACTCTGTCAAGGAATTTAGAAATTCTGATGACACTGGAACTTGATTTCCCCTAATGTAATAATCTCTCCAGTTTAGTGACAGTGCTTCCTTCAGCAGAGAAAGAGCTCTTCAGTTCCCCTTCTTAACATCTAATACACAAGCCACTTCTCATCGTATCATCTGGCTCTTGTAGGTACATGAGCTTGCAATTTTTGATCTAGATCTGGAGGAACATCAAGATACCAAAACATCCAATCTTTAATTTCCAGTTTCCAAAATCCTTATAAATACTCACCAATTGCTAAGGCCAACCAATCCTTCAGGCAGCCATCTCTGTCAGGCCCAGCTGGAAGTCCAGAAAGCTCAGAGGAATTCAAGAAGCCCTAAGTTCACAAGAAAACAAACACAGACCGGTTCTTTTTTTTTTTTTTTTTTTTTTTTTTTTTTTTTTTTTTTTTTGGTACTGGGGAATGAACTCAGGTCCTTGACTATGTAGCTGGCTGGTCTCAAACTCACAGCGATCCTCCTGTGTCAGCCTCCCAAATGCTGGGATTCCAGGCATGCGCCACCATGCCCGGCTAAACACAGACCAGTTCTACACAATTGATATTATCAAGAGAATAAGCAAAAATAGCCTATTTCTAAGAAAATGTGAAGACAACTCCATATAGTTTCATTAAGCCAAAGGATGTTAAAAATTGATTACAAATACTTTATTCTATTACCACATCACCCCCAATTCCACTCCCATTTTCTAGCCTAGCTTCTTAGAAAGTAATTTCCTAGAAACCAAGAACAAAATTTTCACGTGGTCATAAATGTAAAAGAAAAGAGAGGCAGGAATGTAGCTCAGTGGTAGAAAAATGCGTCTGGCACGCACAAGATCCCAGGTTAAAAGAGAAAGAAAGAGTAAAAGTTAAAGATAGGATACCTACAGATTATTGGTGGGATTGCAAAATGGTGTAAATCCAATGGTAGAGACTTTGGACAATATCTAACAAAACTACACATACATTTATCCTTTTACCCCGCATATCTGTTTGTAGAGATTTGACGATACACTTCTAGTGACACAAAAGTACATATGCAGAAGATTATTCATTGAGCTATTGTTTCTAATCAAAAAGTTTTGGAAACAGCCTAAATGCCCAAACATAGAAGGAAACTGATCGAGTAAATCATGGCACAATCATACAACAGAACGCAATGCAACTGGAAAAAAAGGAAAAGGAAGACTGCCATTTCTGTAACAGATTTCCTGTTATAGAATATTTCCAAGATATGTTGTTATCATTATTATTTTTTGGTACCAGGGACTGAACTGAGGACTTTGTGCTTGCAAGGCAGGTGGCAGCCCCACTGAGCTAAATCCCTGGCCCTCCAAGATACATTAAGTGAAAAAAAGTGTGCGTTGGGCTGTAACCCAGAGGTAGAGCACTTACTTGACATGCAGGAGGCCCAGCACTACACCCACACCACACACCCATACACCAAAATATAAAAAGTAAATTAAAGTACATATAGGGCCAGGTGTGCTGACGCATCCTGTAATCCTAGCACTTGGAAAGCTGAGGCAGGAGGAGAGCTGTGACCTCAAGGTCAGCCTAGATCACACAGTGAGACCTAGTCTGAATAAAAAAAGGTATGGGCTGGGGATTTAGCTCAGTGGTACCGCGCCTACCTCAAAAGCACAGGGTCCTGAGTTCAATCCCTGGTACCAAAAAAAAAAAAAAAAAGGTATACATATCAATTATATCATTATTTGTGTAGCAAATATCTCTATAAATATGCTTATCTTTGCAAAAAATACTAAAAATATAACATCTAGTGAAGTAGGTTATTTACAGAAGTAATAAGAATGGATGGAAAAAGGAGTGCTTATTTTTGGAGCACACTTTTTTAAAATAATAATTTTAGTTTTTGGCACTTTGTTAATGTTTTTCATATTCAAAAATAAAATTAAAGGGCCAGGGATTTAGCTCAGTGGTGTCACCACCTGCCTCACAAGCACAAGGTCCCAAGTTCAATTCCCAGTACCAAAACAAAAAACAAAACAAATGAATAATGTGTCATATAGTAATTAAAGCCTATTGTATGAATCTATGAGTCAATGGTGGTACTAAATAAAGCACTAAAGGAGAAAGAAGGCAAAACTTACAGTTAAATGTGAACTAATTAATGCCCATAAAAGAAATTACAAGAAAAAAATAACCATTATACAACTAAAGGAGTAAAAACCTGGAAAGAATCATCAATAAATGGGCCAGGAATGTAGCTCAGTGGCACAGCACCTGCCTAACAAGCATGAGGCCCTAAGTTTGACTTCCGATACAAAAAAAAGAATCATCAATAAATGCTAAAATTAGCATTATGCAAAAGCCTTCTTCTGATAAACTGAGTTTTTCTTTGGTCTCAAGAGAATCTCTCATATAATTATTTATTTATAACAAAGAAGAAGGTAGGGCCAGGGATTTAGCTCAGTGGTTCCGCCACCTGCCTGGCAAGTGCGAGGACCCGAATTCAATCCCCAGTACAAGATAAAAAAAAAAAAAAAAAAAAAAAACAAAAAAATCACAGAGGAAGGTGGCACCTGTACAGTGGTGAAGCCTGGCAAATACTACCTTGATCAAGAGATCAAAGTTAACACTGTTAATAACAGAACCAAAGGTCATCGTGTGCCTCCTCATATGATGATCTGAGAAAAATACTGTATAATTTTCCTCAAGAGGAGTACTTCCTGAGTCTAAATATGAAGACACATCAGACAAACCTAAATTAAAGAAAGTCTACAAAACTGCCCCTTATCTTCTAAAAGTGTCGGTGCAGTGAAACACAAAGAAAGGCTAAGGAATAAAGAGACTAAATACAAATGACAACTAAGTGCAACTTGATACTGGATTGGATCCTGGAGCAGAAGGAAAACTGCCATTGACAAAATATGAATATATATTGCATATTATATAACTAAACATACTGTATCAATGTTAAAATTCCTAATGCGACCAGTGTACAGTGGCTATATGAGAGAATCTCATCATTTTTTTTTCTTTTTTCAGTACCAGGAATCGAACTTACAATCTCGTGCTTGCCAGGCAGGCACAGCACCACTAAGCTATATGCCCCACCCTTCTCATCCTTATTTTTAGGAGATATATGCTGAAAGAATAAAGGCTTCTGATATATACAACATAGAGAAGGATTTTTTTTTATGATAGTAATATAAAGAGATAAAGCAAATGCAGCAAAATGCTAACAAATGATAAATCTGGACAAAGAATAGACTGGAATTTATTGCAGAATACTGGCAACTGGCCTGGTATTGTGGCACATGTCTGTAATTCCAGGACTCTAGGAGGCCGAGGCAGGAGGATAACAAGTTTGATCCCAGCCTGGGCAACTTAGCAAGATATAGATAGTCTCAAGGGTGGGGGATTTAGCTCAGTGGTGCCACCGCCTGCCTTGCAAGTGCAAGGTCACAAGTTCGATCCCCAGTACAAAAAAACAAAGATGTAGTTTCAAAATAAAAAAGGTCAGGCATGTAGTTCAGTGTAAGTTAATGGCTCAGGATTACAAATAGTTACTGGTAATATCAAGATTAGAATTTAGGGTTGAGATGTATCTCAGGAGTAAAGCATTTGCCTAGCATCTGTGAGGCCTGGATTTGATCCTCAGCACCATTAAAAAATAAAAAAGGTTAGTTTGTACTTCAATGGTTCGTCTACACAGGTCTAGAAAATAACAGGGTATTGAGTGCCTTCTTAGCATTACGTGAGGACCTGGGTTCAATCCCTAGTAACCCCCTCCATAATAATCTCAACACAATTTTACCAAGCAATCTCAAGGGAAGGAAAAATAAGAGAAATAAAGTAGTAATAAACACATACAAAAAAATTGTGAGTAGTTGGTTCACCTTTGCCTTGATAATAAGGCTGAATCAAAGAGAAACTGATATAATCCCTTCCTTTAGCCTTCTATGGATGAGTAGACTCACTCTTCTAAATTGTCCTTTTCCCAAGCTCTCTTGGAAACCCTGTCCTCAGACTGTTTCAGATTTCTGAACAGGAAGCCTCAGATGGCTTTCCCAAATTTGGCTAACTCCACCTCACTGGCATTCAATAACACAGCCTAACTGAGCCCCAGCTAAATGCTGCACCCACTTCTCTTGCACTGCAGATATAGTAAGTGAAAAAACAAATTCCCTGCCTCATGAAGGTTACATTCTACTGGGAAAGGCAGACAATATACAAATCAAACACATACATAATATATAGGCACTATAAAACAGTTTTTTAGATGAGACAAAATAAAGAGAACAACAGAAGGGTACTCCTCCCCAAAGATAACATTTAAGTAGAGACGTGAAAAAAGACAGTGAAAAAGTATGTGGGGGGTGGGCAACAAAGGCAAGGGATGTAGATAAGTAGTAGACTATGTGCTCAGCACGCATAAGGCCATGGGTTCAATCCCAGGCACCAAAAAGAAAGAAAAGGAAGAAGGGGTCAAATTCAGCACACTGGAGACAACCTCAAAACTCACTTTGCTGTATGTGGAAAGTTGATCCTTTAAGCTCTGACAGTGCAACATGGTTCCCAGGGCTACTTGCTGGACCAACTGTTGAAATTTTAAATTTCTGGAAACAAAATCCGTCTCACAGTTTACCTGGGGGAATAAATTGTTGTATAAGCTGTTTGCTTCCAAAAGAGCCTTAACGCTGTAGGTTAAGCCAAGATACTAATAGAACAAGCTGCAGACTACAAAGAAACAAATGATCCCCAAATTTTAAAGCTGCAGTTCCTCTCTTGAGGCCAGAAACTGAGTGAAGTGATTCTTGCTGTGCCAATGCGATAGCAATAACCTATACATTCACAAGTTCTGTAATGTTTGGAAGGACTCACTACAATTTCATTACTTGCTTATGGCTACACACCATAATCAGCTCATTCTCTAGCTCCTCCAACCGCAAATCATCTTGGCTATCATTTTGTTTCCCGCCCCCCGCTTTTTTTTTGTGGTACTGAGGATCGAACTCAAGACCTTGTGCTTGCAAGGTGGGTGGCAGAACCACTGAGCTAAATCCCCAGCCCTGTTTATCCCCTTCTTATGGTAAATTAATCCACTTCTTCATCAACTACATCAAGCCTCTAAAATAGCTGTTCTCTAACAGATACTCATCAACTAAGTAATGTAATTACTAGTTTGAAAATCTAACTTGGAAAAGGGAAGTAAAAAGAATTAAGATGTAATATGTATGTACCAATAACCCATGATAAATGTATTTATGAATCATGAACATACGCTAAAAAAAGAATTAAAAATAAAATGTAGCTATTCTAGGAAACAGTGATCAGATGCAAGCTTACACTTTATTTAGACATTATATCCTAGACTGCTAGGCCATTTCTCATCAACACACTGTGTATTTGTATACTTAAATGAATCCATAGTTAATAAATGAGGTTTCTCAAGTTTAACTCCAACTATACTGTCCTCAAACAGATTTCTTTTTTAAGAATGCAAAGGATCGAACAGGAGCCTTACACACACGGTGTGGCATTTCCAACAACGCACCTCCACCAACACAGCTGTACTGCCTTCCTGCAGCAGCCCAATCAGGCCTTCTTTGGTCTTCCTCCCATGGAGCCTGTCAACTTTGCTCCAGCCCTCCTTCTGGGCCTGCTTGTGGAGCCAGATCTCCGCCTATAAAGTGGTAAGAAAAGAACAAATGACAGTGTCATAGAATTTAGAACTGAATGAAGCTCTAAAATATACTAAAGTTCCCTGATCCTCTCTGCTTCTCCTATGTTCTATAATAAAGCAATCTATTGTCTATGGGCAGTCTATCACTAAATTCTGAATACCAGGCATTATAGAAACTGGTGCTTTGTATAAATTCAATCTTCATACGTCCCTGTGGGAGCAGATAGCAGTATTTTCATTATATAGACCAAAATAACACAACTCTGAAATATTAATATGTCCAAGGTCACTGTGTTAGTGAGGCCACAGTAATTTGGGTCCTAATGAGGCTGACTCCAAAGTTCACACAAACCTTTCAAATTCAAGCAGCAGAACACACCCAGTCTTTCATTGAATAGGGTTTGCTAACCCTGGGATATTGAGTTAAATTCTTCCAAGTAAGACAAAAGTGAGGTCATTTAAGGCAGAAGCCTAACTAGAATTCTGTGTAATGGGTCACTGGGCAGCAAGTGTGACTTCTGCGTGCCCCAAGAGCCTGAGGTCACACACCAGTACCAGGCCTGCATCCTCTCCCCACCTGTTTGAGATCCCCGCCACAAGTCTCCAGAGCTTTTTTGCAGTTCACAAAGGAATAGCCTGTTTTCTGACGCAGATTCATTAGGAGCTCCTTGCTGGAAGCCGAGGAAGATAGCCAAGGCCCAGTCTGAAATGTGTGCCATGGCTGGGCCGACTGAAGCAGAAAGGACCCCGCCTGGTGAGATAAAAAGGAGATGAGAAGCCAAAAACAGCGAAGAGCTGGGCGACGGAGAGCACATGAACAGGGAAGCGACCTTAGGGCTCAGGAGGCGTGGGAAGGGCAGCTCACGAGGGGCTGGACTGAAGAAGTATGCCTCTGGGGAAGAGTGGGAATCAAATGGAGGCCTTGAGAAAGGACGGGTGTGCTTCCAGATGAGGATCTGCAAGAGAGGCAGGTCAACACAGGGACCAGGGAATCTCACCAGGTGGCTCCCAGTCCGCGCAACCAGACAGAGGCGCAGAGACGGCAACAGCGACATATCTCCCACCCCGCCACGGTAGCACCCACTGGCGCACAGGTGAGGCGACACACTACGGCATGGCGGAAGGACCAAAACTCTCCACTACAATGCGTCTCGTGGCAATGGCGCCACCTGCCTGCTTGGAGGGACATGGTCGCATTCCTTAAATGGCTTCATTGAATTATTTCAAATGAAATTAACCCCGACAGATAAATAAGAAGTCAAAAGATAACACATACAACACCTCTGGGTAACACTATATTTCTTTATTTCCAATGCGCTTTTATATTTAATATCAATTTATGACTCACAATAAACTTGTGAAGTAAGTGTGTGAGTTCAGAAAATTGCCCAGGGTCTACAGAGGTAAAGGTAGAGTCCCCTCGACAAACTGAGTAAATATGTGTTGAATGAACAAACCATCTGCTGAGTCAGGAACTGTGCTAGGCTTCAAGGAATCAGAGACGAATAAACCTTAGCCATAACCTCCCAGGTAATCTAATGGTGAGAAAATAAGGATCAGACAAATGTCTACTCAAAACAAGGTAGATCCCAGAAGTTGAACAAACAGGTAAAGGATAGGGAAAGAGGGAATCGCATTCAAAAAAGAATCTCAGGAAAAGCTATTTTTTTTTTCAGGAAAGAGACAAAGAATAAGGAAGATTTTTAATATGTAGCAATATCCTTTCTTATCAGGGAACCATCATAAAGAACGGAGGAAGTCAGGAACCTTGATGTGGATTTAGAAAACAAAAAGTAGGCTTATGTAATTTTGCCAGAGGTCCAATATATGTAGGAAAGGAGTATGAAGTGAATCAGAGAGGTAATTTAGGATCACATGAGGATACACCGAGTACCAAGCAGAAGAGATTGTTCTTGCTTCTACAGGCAACAGAAGCTAATCGGAGCTGATTTTGGAAGACTGCAAGAGTTGGTAGAATGGCTTCAAGGTGAGAAAATGATGGCAGAAGCCCAGGGGAGCTACAGCTAAGCAGTAAGTAAAGAAGGCCTCAACCAGAGCTCCCACAGTAGGAAGAGGCAAAAAGTGAAGGAAAATATGTTTCAAAGAAAGGACTGATAGAGGTGGGGCAGAAAAATTAAAGATGAGAATAACCTAGTACTCAGTAGAGTGTTCTGCACAGCATGATGTTGTGAGATCAGGGTGCCAACTCTGGAAAGGAGGAAGAAGCTATAGCCCAAAAGGTGGCTCTGCATAGACAGGACTTGACCCAATTAGAGCCATGGTCCTACTAGATTTTTTTCTCTACAAGCAGAAACAGGTGGTCTGAGGCATCTAACTTTTCATCTCCGCAGGAAAAGCTGAGTTTGTTGGATTCAAAAGAGATCATTAATACTTTTTTTTTTTCTCTTTAAAAAATTCCAAGCCATAGGGCTGGGGATTTAGCTCAGTGGCACCATGCCTGCCTTGCACTTGTCTGTCAAGGCAAGGCTCTAGGTTCAATCCCCAACACTGAAGGAAAAAAAAGATTTTTTTAAAAATCTATTTTAGGGCCGGGGATTTAGCTCAGTGGTTCCAGCGCTTGCTTTGCAAGCACAAGGACCTGAGTTCGATCCCCAATACCAAAAAAAAAAAAAAATCTATTTTGCACAAAGCCAGGCATGGTGGAAGCAAACCTATAATTTCAGCACTCAGGAGGGTGAGGCAGGAGGATTGCCACAAGTTTGAGGTACATAGTGAGTTCAAGGCCAGCCTGGACTACATAGTGAGACTCTGTCTCAAAAAAAAAAAAAGTATCCTGTATAGACAACAGCAGGACTGGATGTCATCAGGGACAGACTGGAGCCACTGCTCAAATACCTTATTTAACTTCCTTATTCCTAAAATTACCGGGTACTATCCTGTCCTTCTCTAAGAACAGGAGTCAGGAACCTCCTTTGTGCTGTAATGCCAGCACTGCCAAGAATCTCAGCAAGCAGGCACCTCATTGTATCTGCCCACGAATATCTGAGGGAATAAAGAAGGAAGAAAAAAAAAGAGGGGAGAGAAAGTGATCCTTTTGGGTCCCTATGGTTATGGTTCTGAAGTTACAGCTTTGGAGAGATGAAGTTCCTTCACTGGGACAAAGGGCTGAGAACAGGAGAGGTGACATCAAACAGGTCTCGATTCCCAGTGCCTGGCTCTATATATGTTGACATTCTCATCCTCATCCCGCTGGGCCAGCTCCAGTTGGAAGTGCTGGGGCAGGAGGTGCTGAAAGAAATTCTCTGTCCCATGCTCCTCTCTCATCTTGGAGGCCAGATAGATGGTGCCATGGGGCCCGCACAGGTGTTGGAGGGTCCCCAGCAGCAGTGGGAAGGTGGGTTCCAGGTACACGATATCAGCCCCCAGCACCAGGTCATAGTCTCCAGGAAAGACATGCTGGTCAATCCCCCAGGATAAAGCACGGACCTGCGCCCGGCCTCCAGCTGGCACATTAGCTTGGACGTTGCCCTGGATCTGCTCTAGGGCCAGAGGCAGGTCAGTGATGGTAACATCCCCCCCTGAGAGAGAGCAAGGGGGAGAAATGCAAGTCAGAGGGCCCAACCATGGGCTCTTGGCTCCAGCTTGGAAGGTCCAAAGACCTCAAGGCCTAAAGGTCAATGTCTTGACAGCCCAAAGTCCACACTGACGTTTAGTTCCCTAACTCCATGTTACCCTCTGGCAATCTCATTACTCTACATTCTACAACATCAACACTCTCGCTAAGCTAATCTTCAACCTGTCTGCCCCACACACAGCAATCAGATGTCAGCAGAAGCCCAGACAGGACTAAGCTAAGGATAAGCTGTGCATCTACCCCCTCTGACACAAACCTGTGTGCAGGGGTCTGGAAGCCTCCCAGATAAGATGACCTCACCTGAGTCCTAAAGAACAAGCAGGGGTTATTCAGGCGCATCTTCCCAAGCAGAGAATAGTGATTACAAAAGCTTGGCAGGGAACCAGCATAGCATATCCAAGGAAGGCAGGCTGTATTTTTTTTTTCTTTTTTTCTTTTTGTACTGGGGGTTGAACCCACTGAGATACCTCGCTAGCTCTTTTAAAGAAATTTTTAAAATCTTGACACAGGATCTTGCTAAATTGTTGAATTCCCAAGGCTGGGCTCAAATTTGCAATCCTCCTTATTCAGCCTCCCTGGACTGCTGGGATTTCAGGCAGGCACTGCCACACTCATCTGGAAAGCTGCATCATAGAGGATGTGCAAATGGGGAGAAAAATGCCAAGACACAAGACTAGAGGATTGTGCCATGCTAATCACAGAGAAGTTCAAGAGATTCAAGTTTGATAATGGGGGTGTCTTAAGAGTTAAAGCCGGGGTGAAGATTAACATACCAGAAAGCTTTTTCCATGCAATAAATATACGTATCGAGTGCCTAATAGGAGCTAGGTACACAGTGGTGAGCAAAACAAAACCTTGCCTTTCCTTGAGTTTCATTCCAGAGGTACACACACACAGTTTGCAAAGTAATAATCTAATCATAATTGTGCCAAGTGTTGTAGGAGGAGAACAGGAAGTATAATCCTCCATTCATTCATTTTTTTGTTTGTTTGTTTGTTTTTGGTACCAGGGATTGAACTCAGGACCTTGTGCTTACAAGGCAGGCAACTGCACCACTAAGCTAAATCCCTAGTCCTAAATTTTTTTTTTTTTTGTACTGGGGATCAAACTCGGGCCCTTGTGCTTGCGAGGCAGGTGGCAGAACCACTGAGCGAAATCCCTGGCCCCATTCATTCATTTTTATCATGTTCTTATATATGCCAGGCATTGAGATATAGCAGATAGACAAGAATCTTCTCCATGGAGCTTACAGTCTAGTGGCAAGAAATAGAAGACGACAATGAAATACAAAATAAAATACAATGTAAGTCAAATGACAGTAAGTGCTACAGTGAAACACCAAGCAGGGAGAGGAGATAAGAACCACTTGAGGGTCAGGGCAGAGAATGGAATTTTAAATAGTGTGGTTGAAGAAAGCCTCACTAAGCAGATTATGTTTGGGCAAAGACCTGGAGGCGGCAGTGGCACATACCACGTGGATCTCTCAGGCTAAAGTCTACCAAACCACAGACCAGCAAGCACAAAGACCTTGAGGCAAGACTGCACCTGACAGGTGGGAGGAATCTTGGAGGAGTCTGCAGCTGGAGCAGAATGAGTGGGATAATAGTAGGGGTTGACTCCACATCAAGGCCTTGTAAGGAGATTGTGAGGAATTTGGCTTTTAATCTGGGTGATATGGAAGAACCTTAAATGGAAGAATGGCAATGGAAGTTGACTTGTGAATTAAGAGAAGCTTTCTGGTTGCTGCAGTTAGAAAAGATTGCAGAAGGGCTAGATCAGAAACAAGGAGTCCATTTAGGAGGCGGCAGCAGTGACAGATGAGTGATGATGATGGCCTGAACTAGGGTGGTGATGGTTAAAATAGTCAGATCCTGAATATATTTTGAAGGTAGGGTCAACAGGATTTGCCACAGATTGAATATGAGAGAAGGAGAAAGTGGGGGATGTGAATATGAATAGGAGAGATTTCAGATGTTTGGCCTGACCAATAAGACCCAAATGGCCACGCATTTAAGTGAGGACTACAGGAGAAGCAGGAGATCAAGATTTTATTTCTGGACACATTACACTTGAAATGACCATCAGACAACTACATAAAGACAGTGAGTAGGCACTGGGTTGTACAGACAATTCTGGAGATGAAAATGGGAGAATCATAGTCGTCAGCAAAGAACACTGAAAGCCACAAAGTGATGGGATTGCTTAAGATGGAGCAGACAGATAAAAGAAAGGACTATTCCAGAGCTCTGGGGCACTCAAAAATTTCAATTGTGAAGGCCGGGGATTTAGCTCAGTGGTGCCACCACCTGCCTTGTAAGTGCAAGGTCCTCAGTTCGATCCCCAGTACCAAAAAAAAAAAAGAGGTCAGTTGTGACGATGAAAAAAACCAGCAAGAGAAGAGAAAGTGTGCTCGTGAGATAAACAGAATCCAGAAGTGTGGTGCCCTCAAAAGCAAAAGAAATTTCCAGGAGGAGGGAGTGTCCGTCTCAAATGCAAATCCAATTGAGGTGGGCTGATAAGTGACTCCCTGGTTTAACAACATGGACATGGAAGTGAAGTTCACAGCCTTACCTAGAACCACCACAATGAAGGAGGCATGGAGGAGTGAAAGTCTGATAGGAATGGACTGAGGAACATAGGAGGAAAAGAACTAGAGACAGTGGATAGGCGTTTCATTGTAAAGGAGAGCAGAGAAATGGCTTGGTAACTGAAGATAGACACAAGATCAGAATCTTTTTTCTGAGAAAGGAGAAGTTACAGCATATAATATGCATATATATGTGGAGGAAGGGTGGGAGAGAATGAGAATGACTGAAAGAGAAAGGAAAAGCGAACTGAAAATGCAGGAGGTGGGGGAAAGTTGCTGGAAATGTCTTGGAGCAGGTGGAAAGGCTCAGGGGTCTTGTGAAAAGTAGAGAGCTTGACCTTAGCACAATCTGTTTATACATGGAGACAAGAGAGAAGTGGTGCACACAGACACAGACATAGGTGAGCAGATGTTGTGGATAGGAACATTTTCTGAGAAAAAAGAAGCTATAGGAAATTAAGTCATCAACTGAGCGTTGACAATAGCAGAGCAAGGATCTACAGGTTTGAAAAACAAGAAGGTAAAAAAACCATGTTTATAAGGCAGAAGAATAAGCAGACAAAGGAAGTGTAACAGGCTAGGTGGGCAGCACTGAGGACCCACCTGAGACCAGTCCTCACAGTCATATACTACGAGGGCCTAAGCCATCCGGGAAGCCCTCCCTTGGAAGCGATATTTGAGCTAAGCAATGAAAAATGCACATGCTTTATGGTAAGAGGGCTTCAGAAGGAATGCTCCATGTGAAGTCCCTATGGGGGAACATCAAGTAGGTTTGTGGAACTGATGGCAATAAGCAGCACAAGGAAGACAGGAAGGAGGAGGGGGAGACAGGGCATTGGAGGCCAGGATAAAGGTGTTGGTTCTACCATGAAGCAACAAGAAGCTGTTAAAAGATGTGAAGTGGGGGTATTATTTACAGTTGCATTTTGAAAAGGTCTTCTGTTGTAGCACACGCCTATAATCGCAGCATTTGAGGAGGTTGCGGCAGGAGGATCACAAGTTCTAATCCAGTATGGGCAACTTAATGACTTAGCAAGACCTGTCTCAAAAACAACAAAAACAGGGCCAGTGATTTTGCTCAGTGGTTCTGCCACCTGCCTCGCAAGCAAAAGGGCCCGAGTTCAATCCCCAGAACCCCCAAAAAACCAAAAACAACAAAAAGGGCTGGGGATATAGTTCAGTGTGAAGGCCCTGTATTCAATCCCCAGTACCACACACACACACATGCATACACAAAAGAAAGTAAAAAGAGAAAATAAAGTGTTTGTAGATGGGGAGAGGAGGAGGGGGTGAAGGGAGGGCAGGGGTAAGGGGAAAAAATGAGAATCAAGACTTGTCATGTAGAGGTACAAGATCCGAACAATGAATGTAACTGTACTGTATCCCTAAAATGTACCAATAAACTCAATTAAAGCTGAAAAAAAAAAAAAGAAAGAAAGAAAGTAAAAAGAGGGCTGGGGATTTAGTTCAGTGGTCCCACCGCCTGCCTCGAGAGCACAATGACCCAAGTTTGATCCCTAGTACCAAAAAAAAAAAAAAAAAAAAAAAAAAAAAAAAAAAAAAAGGAAAGAAAGTAAAAAGAGAACAAGTCATTCTGACTGTTGGGTGGGATGAGCAGAGGTCTAGGAGACAGCAAGGAATCGAAGCAGGAAGGCCAGTCAGACTTAACAGCTGCAGTCTAAGCAAGAGATGGTGGTGACAGGCTGGTGAACTGTCCTTGGAAATACATGAGAAAATTCAAGTGAAAATACATGAGAAAATTAAGTATTTTTTTTCCAGTACTGGGGATCAAACTCAGGGCCTTGCACATGCCAGGTGGGCACAATGCCACTGAGCCACATCCTGGCCACCCTTCATAAGTGTTTTTAAGTGAGTGTTCTCTGCATGGGGTTTTGTCTACCCTTTTGATCACTAATTTAGGGAAATCTGTTTAGTTTCTGGTTCTTAATAAAACTGAAGCAATTTTTTTTCCTTTCTCAAGTCTGAGGTGCTTAATTCCTAGCCCCTACTTCCCCAAAAAATACCCTAGCCCTCCAAAATTCCTGTTTGATTCTCCTAGCAATAACAATCTACCGACTCTAATATAAATTCACGACCAAGTTATAAAGCATTTATGAGGTTTAACACCAGTAGGTCCGCCGCTGTCCTATAGGATACCCACATATAGGCATTTTGACAGGACACAGATTTTTAAGTGACAACATTCTCCTTGAAATCACAGAGAACAAAGAGGTAGAAACAAATTTCTACAAGGCCTGATTTTTATTTGCAGCCCCAAATCAACTGTCCTGGGTACTTTAACAGCCAATTAGCTCCTGCAACACAGACAAACAAGGTGGTTGTGGTATGGGGGGGGCTATTAAAAGGAAAGGGCTGAGCTGGGTCTAAAGTACGCCCCTTTCCTAGGACTCCCTCACGCCCCCTTCCCGCCACGTACCCTGCAGCGCTGCCAAGATTCCCACGATGCCAGTCCCCGCGCCCAATTCGATCACTTTCTTTCCTCGAAAATCCACATTTTGACTCTCGAAATAGTTGCACAGGCTCAGAGCCTATGGGAGGGGGAAAAAAAAGGCAAAAAAGGCTCTCGTGGAGATGGCTCCATATGGCAGAGGCGGAGTCTGGGGTCTGGACCCCGCAGGGACCCACGCCGGGAGCAGCCCACTCCTCACCGCGTCCCACACGCGCGCCGCCACCCCGAGGCAGGACCCAAAGGTCTGCTTGATGCTCAGTACGTGCCCACAGAAGCAGAACCGGCTCCTCTCCGAGTAAAAGTCGGCAAAGAGCCCAACCTCCCGAGGAAACACTGACTCGGGCTCTGACTCCGGATCCCCGCGGGAGCTCGCCATCCGATGGAGACAATGCCCAGCACCACGGCGAACCCGAAGAACCGGGTCTACGGCGGGGTCGAGTCTGGGGGCCGCAGGGCGTCTGGGCTTTGCAGTAGCGCCGAGCCCCGCCCCCCGAGTTTGGCCTCCTTCCTCCAGTTGGACTTCCTGTAGGTGGGATGAGGAGCCGCACCTCCCGCCAGGTCCCTAAAGCACACATGACAGGACCCACGCAGGACCGCACTGGTCAGACCTGTCAGACCTGGCTCGACACCAGGGCAGAGAAACGGTGCTTCATTGCACCGTAGGAGAGAAGGTGCCCAGATCGCTCTCATCTGTGGGGTGCACAGGTGCATGCAGCCAGTGTGGCAATCAGACCAGGCAGAAGCCAGCTGAGAGGAGGCTGGGCGCCTCCTTCCCGCCCGGGCAGCCAAGTTAGAGACCAGCGGCGCGGAGGCTTCCCGCGGCTCCAGCCCCTAGCGGTCCTGCCCACCTAGCCCAGTCGAATTCGCTCTGGCGTCTTTAAGGGGCGGGGCCGCTCATAGCGTGCACACGCGTCATCATCTTGCGCCTCGGGCTTTGGTCTCCACGTGGACTCGGTGGAACCCGGGGCTGCGCATCATGGCGGGAGCAGAGACTGGGAATACGGTGGGAGCTGAGGCTCCCCAGCCCCAAAAGCGTTATTACCGGCAACGGGCCCACTCCAACCCCATGGCGGACCATACGCTGCGCTAGTGAGCAAGCGGGACACGGGGAGGGGAGGAAGGGCGGTATCCTCCCAGCGGCCTGGAGAGCAAGGGTGCTGGCACTGTAGGGAAGATTGGGAAAAGATTGAGTAGGATCGGCTGGGTGACGTTAGTTGGGGGTGGGTCTAGGAGGTTTGGCCGAGGGCGGAGTTGGCCAGTCAAGAGTGGGTGTGTCATTCTGGTTTAAGTTTGGGTAGCAGTGCCAAGTCTAGAAAGAGAAAAGTTGTTGGTGAAACTAGAGTAAAAGGCAGGTTGGCGTTTTCATCTTTCGCTCTTGTTTGTTGGGTTTAATAAAAAGGCAAACATACACAGTATTTCCCACTCCTTACTTCATCCTCTACCCGTAGAGCACGTGAATGAAGTCAGATACCAGTGCCTTAGCTCCACAGATGCCCCCAAAAAGGAGGGCTACCCAGCCAGGGTTATGTCCACCCCCAGAAGTAGAGATGGGGAGATTAGCAATCAGCCTCATGATGGGCCTGTGATTCACACTGGGTTTTAGAAGGATTCCACTATACTTCCTGAGGCTACAGGGCCCACTCTTACAGAATTCTTGAGAAGTCCTCCTCTCATCTACCTTCCACCCTCACCCACCCGCATACATGCAGTACCACTTCTGCAATGGCATGAACAACCTTCTCACTTTTTTCATATCTTCTTCAATAGTCCTGTGAAGCCAGATGAGATGGACTGGTCTGAGCTATACCCAGAGTTCTTCGCTCCACTCACTCAAAATCGCAGCCATGATGACCCAAAGGACACGGAGGAAAAACAAGTTCAGGCCCAAGTGGAGTTTGCAGACATAGGCTGTGGCTATGGTGGCCTGTTAGGTAATGGTCCAGCCTTTTCTCTGGAGTAGAAACCTAGGTTCTGCTACATCAGCAGGTTTGGTAGAGGCCACAGTTGACCTTTCCCCTATGGACAGACACTAGTGACATCAATGTGGAGAGCCTCCATCTTTTCTCTATCCTGGGACTATGGCCTTTGTCCCAGAGAAGGGAGGGGGCTACCTCAAATGGCTGTTAAAATTTGGGTTGTCCTGTCTAGGCCCAGTCCCTACATGAGCCATTTCACCTGCCAAGTGCTGGGTCAGTGAGCCAGTCAGCACACAAGCGTCAGAGATTAGCCACTGTGGCCAGTGATCCTGAACTGTCTTTTTCAGGGATTCCACCACCTCCCCTCCCTCACAAGAGCACATTCTTTCTGCTCTGCTCTTATGTTCTTAGGTTCCTCTTGTAAGTGTTGTCCCAGGCATGCTTGCATTGCAATCCAGGGGGCCTAGCTAAATTGCCATGCTAGGCTTGAACCTGTGATCATCCTGCCTCAATCTCCTGGAGTACTGGGATTATGAGCGCAGGTCACCACTCCCACCTCACTTTCTTTTTTTTGTTGTTTTTATTTTTTCTTTTTGTGCTCCCAGGGATGGAACTCAAGACCTTGTGCTTGCAAGGCAGGGATAGAGCCACTGAACTAAATCCCTGGCCCCCACCTCACTTTCTTACATCTATGATCTTGAGCATTTTAGCTCAGTATCTTCACCTTCACAGTCTACCACAGAAGATTATAAGGATTAAATAAGACCGTGTACAAAGTCTCTATGAAAACTCTAAAGTAAACTTCTAGGCCTGGTGGCACATGCCTGTAATTCCAGCACTTTGGAGGCTGTGGCAAGAGGATTACGTAGTAAGGCCTTGTCTCAGAAAAAAACAATTTTTTTTTTAAAAAGGAAAACTTAAGCCACTTGTAAATAATTATTAATGTTACCTCAGCCCTCCCATTCTAGTCCTGTTAACTTTTGTGTCTTCCTGCATTTTCTTCAGCAGAGAGCTATACATTATAACTACACAGTACTTATCTCTGTTCTTAATCCTGACTCTGGTGGTTTCAGATTGAGGCCTCCTTTCCTGTGTTGACCCCTTTTGCACTCCTTGGAAGCAGGAGGTTGATGATCCCATTGCTATTTCTGTGTGCAGTGGAATTGTCACCACTGTTCCCAGACACACTCATTCTGGGCCTGGAGATCCGGGTGAAGGTTTCAGACTATGTACAAGACCGGATTCGGGCCTTACGTGCAGCTCCTGGAGGTGGCTTCCAGAACATCGCCTGTCTCCGTAGTAATGCCATGAAGCACCTTCCCAACTTCTTCTGCAAGGGCCAGGTGGGGAAGGGCCCTGGTCGGGTAGGCTGGTAGGCAGGCAGGCCTGGAGGCCAGGCACTTAACAATCCTTTTGGTGCCCGTGTGTCTCACAGCTGACAAAGATGTTCTTCCTCTTCCCTGACCCACATTTCAAACGGACAAAGCACAAATGGCGAATCATCAGCCCCACACTACTAGCAGAATATGCCTACGTGCTGAGAATTGGGGTGAGTCAAAAGTGGGATGGAGAATGGAGTGAGTGGCCTATTGCAGAACCCTCTACTAGGAGTTGGGAGTCCATTTTGGCTGCTCACTTGCATGTAGCCCGTCAAGGATGATTTCTTCACACATGTAGGGGCTGGTATATACCATAACTGATGTGCTGGAGCTACACCACTGGATGTGCACCCATTTTGAAGGTCACCCCCTATTTGAGCGTGTGCCTTTGGAAGAGCTGGTAAGTAGGGGCCAAAGTAAATTGCAAAGATACAGGCCCTTTTCAAGGTAATTCTGTATTTGAACCTAGGCCAGAACCAGGAGGATGGGGTGGGAGTCTAGAGACCCAGAGCAGTTTGAAAGTTGGGCAAGGACTTAACAGACCCTTCCTTCTCCCAGAGTGAAGACCCCATTGTGGAACATCTAGGAACTTCAACCGAGGAGGGGAAGAAAGTTCTACGTAATGGAGGAAAGAATTTCCCAGCTATCTTCCGAAGAATACAGGATCCCACCCTCCAGGCAGTGACTCCCAATCCCACCCTGCCTGATCACTGACTGTGTACCCTATCTCAGCTGGATCCCATCTTCCGAGGACTGGAAAGATCAGACCCCCTTGACCTTCCCAGCTGAGACTTGTGGGGTTGGGAGGCTTCAATCTCTCCAAGAAATTGGGGAGTACCTGTATTCACAGCTCCCCACACCCAGCTCCTCTCACTTTCTTGTCCCTCCACTACCAGCAGAAAGCAAAAAAATCTGATTTTGAAGGACCTTGAACCAGAGGGAATCTTTGGAAGGGTATGGGGTCTTATCCCTTAGCACTCCCTTCTCCTTGTAGGGCCTCTCAGCTGGAGTGAGAAATGCAGTGCTCCACTGTCTAAACTGCTTGGCTCAAATAGCCTGTCCACTTGTGTTTACTTTGCAGTCCTAGGGATAACCCGTGGGTGTGCACACGTGCCGGTGCTGCTGTTTCTTAGGTCAGGGTGTATATCACGTGCCTCCTCCTGCTCACCCTGCCTGAGCAATCTGCCTTTTTTTTTTTACAAAGGTCTCACAAAGTTGCCCAGGCTTGGCTCAAACTTGTGATCCTCGTGCCTCAGCCTCCCAGGGTGCTGAAATTACAGGTGTGCATCTTCATGCCTGGCTCTCTGCTCCCTTTATTATCTGTCTCTGGAGGGTCCCTGAAAGGGTAAAGAGACAGAGACCCTCTCCTTCATGTTGATTCCAGAACTTCAGAGCTGACTGAGTAGCAGAAAGTCTGATAAGGGTGGGGAAGGAGTGAAGGGTAAGGAGCAAGAAGCTAACCAATGAAGTGTTCTAAGCTAAAAGTGGGAAGGGGCTGCCCAGAAGAAACTTAGTCAGCTAGGGGTTTAAAGCATGCACTTAGCCCTTGAGCCATCCGGTGGCCCAGAGATAGTATCCAAACTTCTGTTCTTGCAAAAAGTTCATGGCCGGGCGTGGTGGTGCACACCTGTAATCCCAGCACTCGGGAGGCTGAGGCAGGAGGATCGTTGTGAGTTTGAGACCAGCCTGGGCTACATAGTGAGTTCCAGGTCAGTCTCAACTACATAGTGAAACCCTGTCTCAAAAATTTTTTTAAAAAAAAGAAGAAAGTTCCCTAATTTCTGTCCCTCAAGCCTCAGATACTTTTGGCTGGAAGGAGGGGACTTGACCTAAGAAACCCCTCTCCCCAAGAAACAAATGCTTGCATCTGCCCAGTGTGTGTTAGGCGCAGGGAAAGAGATGTGACTAGTGCAGGGAAATTCTGCTCTTGTGGAGAGGGTGCAGTCCAATGAGCCCACAATGTGGGCACACTTGTGCCTCTTCATGGAGGAGCTGGAGGATAAGGAATTCCTGAGGATGGGCCTGAAGGGGCTTAGCTCCCTGGGGAAGTGGTGGGACTACCCGAGACCTGACTCTTGTATCCCCATTAAATCACCTTTCCCAGGGATAGACCTTTAGGCTCCTAGCCTAAGGCGCTGCGGGGGGGGGGTGGCTGATAGAGGCCACCGCTCCCTTGAGGGTCATTGCAACCAGAGCTCCAAAGGAGCTAAGAAATCCCAGCCAGCCCCGCCTACCATTCCTGGGTGGTAATCTCCAACACAGACTACTCAAGACAAGGGGGCAAGGGATTGGCTGAAGACCTGGGGCGGGGGCATGGTAACCACCTCACCCAAGGGTTAAATAGGGGTTTGGGCAAGCAAGCAAGATGCTCCGGAGAAGCTCTCTCTCATCTGTCTCCCCTAATATTGGACCATGACCCAGTCCCTCAAGCTCGCCTCCAGAGTGTTCCATCGCCTCCGCTGGGCTCCGGAGCTGGGCGCCTCACTACCCTCCCCGGGCTCCGACTCAGCACCTCGGAGCCTGGCAGATATCCCAGGCCCTTCCACGCCTAGATTCCTGGCTGAACTTTTCTGCAAAGGGGGACTGTCGAGGCTACACGACCTGCAGGTAGAAGGGAATGCCGTTCTGACTCCTCGGACCTAGAGTTGTGAAGGAAATGCTTTGACAGTGCCGGAAAGTAAACGTGTGGAACGTGGGATGTGGTGGGGAGCTGGCAGTGACACTTATAAATTAGGAGAAAGGCATGTTGGGACGGAGAGGTGGCTTCCCTGGGAGTACTCCACCCCAGCACCCAGCAAGGGGGTCCATTCTGCGCCTTCTCACTGGGCAGACATCTGGAGACCTTACATCTAGGTTGATTGCGCCAGAAGACAAAGCGGGCGGTGTTCTCCCGTTTGTTTGACTTAAAGCTACCCTCCTTTGGTTCACTGGGAACTCAGTTTGAGATGGACAGACCAAGAGGGGAACCTTTAGGGATTTTTCCGTCTCAATCCGACTCAGATGACCAGAGGGGTACTGAATATCCACTTTGCGCAAAGTTCCTCCGTTTTTTCCGTCACATTCAAAGTTTCATGGGATGGGAGAGCTTACAGCATCAGAAAGTTTACATTAGTCAGGCTACCCTTGCCAAGCCTAGCCAGCTCCCTTGCCTTTAGAGCAGCTGAGAGCTCCCAGCCTGGTGTCCATGCATCCGGTTCTCCCCAGGTGCAGGACGCTGAGCGCTTCGGCCCGGTATGGTCCGCCAGCTTCGGGAAGGTGCGCACAGTGTACCTGTCGGCTCCTGCGCTCATCGAGCAGCTGCTGCGACAGGAGGGACCCCGGCCAGAGCGCTGCAGCTTCTCGTCCTGGGCGGAGCACCGTCGCCGCCACCAGCAGGCTTGTGGACTTCTCACCGCGTGAGTCCTCTCTGTCCTGAGAACCCACGCCCGGCCCCGTTCATCAGCCCTCTCCTGGGGCGGGTCACGACACAGTCCAGGGCTTGGGGGAAGAGTGTTTTTCCCAACTTTCTTGCCTCTCGGGATTCTCCATTATGTTGTGTCCAAACTCAGGTAAAGCCTGGCCCTCATCCTGCCTTAAAGAACCGGCGGAGTGGACTAGGGTAACAGACTCTAGATAGAATGTGAGATCTGTGACTCAAGTTACTCGGGAACCCTAGGGCAGGAAGTGAGTAAAAGAGGAAGAGGGATGGAAGATAGGCACAGGCGAGAGCAGGTTTCGGTAGGGAGAGCAGATGCAACACTTCCCCTGGCCACCCCTGCCAAGCCCCGCGCACTGTCCACAGCGGCCAGCCCCGTCTAACCGTCTCCAACTCATGCACCTCCCCGACACGCCTTCTCTCCCCACCTGAGCAGGGAAGGCGAAGAATGGCAGAGGCTCCGTAGCCTCCTGGCCCCACTCCTCCTTCGGCCTCAAGCGGCTGCTGGCTATGCCGGGATCCTGGACAAAGTGGTCTGTGACCTTGTGCGAAGACTAAGGCGCCAGCGGGGGCGCAGCACTGGGCCGCCTGCCCTGGTTCGTGACGTGGCGGGAGAGTTTTACAAATTTGGACTTGAGAGTGAGTCCTAAATCAGAGTTAGGGGCAGAGGTGGGAGACACCGGCTGGGTCCCCCTGTGCCTTGACCGCGCCCCCTTCCGGCCAGGCATAGCCGCGGTGTTACTGGGCTCGCGTCTGGGCTGCTTGGAGGCTGAAGTGCCTCCGGATACAGAGGCCTTCATCCGTGCTGTGGGGTCAGTGTTCGTGTCCACGCTGCTGACCATGGCAATGCCCAGCTGGCTGCAACGCCTTGTGCCTGGACCCTGGGATCGCCTCTGCCGAGACTGGGACCAGATGTTTGCATTTGGTAAAGCACAGAAGCAAGGCGGGCATGGGGAACACGAAGATGCCAGGGGGCAGTGTCATCCATGTGCCTTTTTTCCACGCAGCCCAGCGGCACGTGGAGCGGGGAGAGGCCGAGATAGCTAGGAGGAACCAGGGAAAACCTGAGGAGGAAGACATGCTGTGCAGGGCACACCTGACCCACTTTCTTTTTCGGGAGAAGTGGACTGCCCAGACCATCCTGGGCAATGTGACAGAGCTGCTACTGGCTGGCGTGGATACGGTGAGGTTTCCACTCCATGCTTGGAGTCCCACTTCCAGAGTTTAGTTTCCCTGGTCTTTGGGGACACTTTCCTGCTTCAAAAGAACCCTTATGTAGACCAGCTTGGATTAGCAGCACCTCCTTAGACCCAGACTGCCCCATATTCTGCCCTCATCTACTGGGTCCCCTCCTTACACCTCAGATACTTTCACTTGTCCTCTCAGGTGTCCAACACACTCTCCTGGGCTTTGTATGAGCTCTCCCAGCATCCCGAAGTCCAGGTGGCTCTCCACTCTGAGATCACAGCTACTCTGGGCCAGGGCTCTTGTCCCCACCCACAAGCCACTGCTCTGTCCCAGCTGCCCCTGCTGAAAGCAGTGATCAAGGAAGTGCTACGGTGAGCTGGGAAGAGAAAATGCTGGGGAAAGGATGGGGAAGCAGACAGCAGATAGAAGTTGGGAGAGAAGAGAAAGATGGGCAAACGTGGGTTTCAAAGTTAGAAGTGGTGAGAAGGAATATGCTATAGCCCCCAGCCTCACCTTACTATCTTTTACTTTGCAACCTAGATTGTACCCTGTAGTACCTGGAAATTCCCGTGTTCCAGACAAAGACATTTATGTGGGTGGTTATATTATCCCCAAAAATGTGAGTAAAACCAGTGAACCCCTTTTTCTTAGTATCGTAAGCCACAGCTCTGGTCTCAAATACTTCCCCAAAACTCTTCAAACACTACAGATCTGAATGCCTCTCCCTAGGTTATAATGGGACAGCAGAGAAATTGTTCCAAAAGTAGCCCCAGAAATTTTTCCTATCTCCACCCAGGGCCTGCCTTTGTTCCACTCCATAGATCCTTTTCCCCTGACCACCCTGAATTCCTGGGCCCAAATTGACAAGTATGTGTTCCTCTCCCACCAGACACTAGTTTCTCTGTGTCACTACGCCACTTCGAGGGACCCTGCCCAGTTCACAGAGCCAAATTCTTTTCGTCCAGCTCGCTGGCTAGGGGAGAGCCCAGCCCCCCACCCATTTGCATCTCTTCCCTTTGGCTTTGGCAAGCGCAGCTGCATAGGAAGACGCTTGGCAGAGCTTCAGCTGCAAATGGCTTTGGCCCAGGTGAGTAATCTCGACTTTTACCAATCTCCAGACCAGAGAGACCAAACCTGCTAAAGGTATAAGCTCTTGTCCTCTTATATGCATAGGAAAACACGTAAGGCCCAGCAAACCTATTTGGAGAAACATGACAATATTATAGGCCTGGAGTATAAACAAGGGTATTTGGACTATCTTTCCCTTCCATAATCCTTTACTCTCATTGACTAATAAGTCAGTCCCCTACTAGCCATGGGCGCCAACCCAACATTGACCATTCTAACACTAAGAATGCCTTTCATGAAGCCACCCCACCATTATATGTGTGTGACTTTATTTTGGAGGGGGTACCAGGGATCAAACTCAGGATCTTGAGCTTCCAAGGCAGGTAGTGGAACCACTGAGCTAAATCCCCAGCCCTTACCCCACCATTATAGATCCCCCCTCGTAATGATAGCCTTCTTTCTTCCCTTCCAGATCTTGACCAATTTTGAGGTACTGTCTGAGCCAGGTGCTCCCCCAATCAGACCTATGACCCGGACAGTCCTGGTACCTGAAAGAAACATCAATCTACAGTTTGTGGACAGATAGTTATTGGGAGAAGCTGTCATCATCACCCTCTCTCTTATCACAGGGCTTTATTAAGCACCAGACCAAGAGATTCACCTTCTCCTTGAGGCCTTCTGACCAAAGTAGATAGGGTAACCACAGCAAACTGGAGTATGATTTTGACCTGACTCAGTCAGGTCCAGAAAAACCATGCTCACTCCACCTGCTCAGCCTTTTTCTCCTGGTCATATATGCAGCCTTCAAAAGCCAACTCAGACATTAACTTACAATGTTTTAGTATACATGCTGCTGTCGGGAGCACTTTAATGTGTAATGTTGAGTGGACTGAAGGACTCAACCACCTCTCTTTTGGTGCTTCCACCACATTCACTGATGCTGCTGGCTAAGCATTGTGCATAAGCCAAGTAATTGTGCATCTCATCTGCACCTGGTTAGTTCTCCCTCTAAGCATGCAAGCTCTTTGAAAGAAAGGATGGAGGATTATTTGGTATTTATACCCCCAGTCAGGGGCTATCTTTGAAAAGTTGACACCACATACATTTTCAGATTGAAACTAGACCCTGTAGCAGAAGGGACAAGCAGCATACCAGACTGTCTACCCTTTTTTTTTTTTTTTTTTTTTTTTTTTTTTTTTTTTTTTTTTTTTTTTTTTTTTTTTTTTTTTTTTTTTTTTTTTTTTTTTTTTTTTTTTTTTTTTTTTTTTTTTTTTTTTTTTTTTTTTTTTTTTTTTTTTTTTTTTTTTTTTTTTTTTTTTTTTTTTTTTTTTTTTTTTTGTATCAGATCCTTGCACTTGCAAGGCAGGCAGTAGAACCACTAAGCTAAATCCCTGGCCCCTACCCTCTTCTTTCTTCATCTTGCCTTTAGGGATCTGGCTTAGCCTGGTTTATGATTTTTTAAAAATTCTCCTTGGTTCTCTGATCACTATTAAGTGAGCTTGTCCCACCACTTAGTTCCCAGGCAAAGGCATTTTGGGGCCTATCTTTACCTAGGTCTCTACCTTTTGTATTTTTTAAATATTCATAAGTTTTGGAATAAAAACAAGTGTTTCATCCTTGACTTTTGGCTTACTTTACTCCTACTTCCTGCAAGACCCAATCCCCTCTCCCACCTTGGTTTCTTAGGTCCTAGGAGTGGTTCCCATAACAACGGGAGGTCTGGATGCCTGGAAGAATCCTTTGTGACACAGACCCAGGCATGTTTCTGTCTGTAGTGGGAACAGCCGAGTCTAGTCTTGTTTCCTGTAAGAGATTCAGGGGGTGGTAGTGAGAATTAACTGCAAGGGCTAAGTCGTAAAGTGGGCTAGGGAGTTAGGGATTTGCAGAAACGGGCAGTGGCAGCTGACTTTGGTAATACAAGTGCCTGATTTGAAGGATATCCGACATTGGCCACTTTGCTTCTCTGGAAGTTACTCCAAGATAATTTCCTTCAGGGAAAGACATAGAAACAAGTTGGAAAGTGGTGTCAGACAGGGTGCAAGCTGAGTGTGAGGGTGGCCAGAAACCCCAGGGCACCAAGGCAGGAGCAGGATGGGCCAAGGAAGCCTGTTTCCCTGAGTCAGCACTCTGTGGGCTCCCAGAGGCAAAGGCACAGTACTCCTCTAATGATATATACAGATTAACTCATCTTCCATCCAAATAAATCTCTCAGCACTCTGCACACCTCCATCTGTATCCCAGATTGCCCTCGCTGTGTCTTGTCTTGCCCTCTTCTGCTGTCCTTATCCCATTCGAACTAGCTGGGTAAAGAAGGAGATTTCACTTTATACTTCTTGCTCCCTGCCCCTTGTCCTAGACATAGCTCCCTGACCACAGAAACTCCACTAGTTACCAGGTCTTCTGTAGATGAGCAAACCATGCAGAATGCAGAGGGGCAGGGCATGTCCAAAGTCTTATCCAGAGATACAGTGTTTGTGTATTTACTGCATCTCTTCTCAATTCCACCTCTACTCTATCACCAAATTCAACTTGGATCTAAAGCATTTGATTTTTAGAAGATTTGAGCTTTAAGGTAGATTAAAGCTCAGCCTGCTATGAGATCCTTTCCCTTGGCATCAGTCATAAGAACTCTGCCCACCCACATTTCCCACTGGGCAAGAAGGAATGCTCAATTAAAGAGTAAACAGTACCCATGACCCCTTTCTTGCAAAGATCTCTTTAAATTAGAAAAAAGAAGAGGGGCCTGGGATTCAGCTCAGTGGTTCTGCTGCCTGCCTCAAAAGCACAAGGACCCAAGTTCAATCCCCGGTACCCCGCCCCCCAAAAAAGGTGGAAGTTAGAAAAAGGGAAGAAGACCATACTGACATGGACTCAACCCCCACAAGATTTCCATTAGTGCTGATGAAGAGGAGACAATGCTGGCTTTAGGACCTAGAGTGGAAATGAAGACTGTGTTCTTGGGTATGTCTAAGGTTCCATGTGGACCCATCACAGGGGACAGCGCAGGCTTGGAACAGAAGCTCCATGTGTATCACATCTATCTGAGACCTATCTGCCAGTATAAGTACCAGCAGTCATTCTGCTTTGCTGTCTCCCATCTGGTTCCCAACAGCTCTTCTGTGAATGTAAAATCAGTAGTCTAACCCTTTTGTCTCCCCAGGTGGGGAGTATAGAGGAGTATGTCTCTGGGGAAAGTTTCCTACTGGGAATATGGAAGACTTAGCTTCAGTCCCCTCTCTGATATTAGAAGTGATATGCTTCCAACACTTTGAGGTGAATCAGACCCCAACCCGGCTTTGGTTCCTACACTCCCAAGGGAGTCTGGATGCCAGCATGATGAACAGCAGCCAAGCCCCCTTCTCTGGTGAGAAGATTAAGGTTGATTATACAAGAAAGCTATGTGTGGGCATTCAGAAAAGCAGCATTGTCTCCAAAACATCCCAAGGGAACAGATAGAGCAGAAACTTTCCTCAGAGAAGGATCAATAATAAGAAAGGCCTCTGGGTCTGCTTTTAGCAATGTATGAAGGAATTATTTTAATTGCTGATGAATGGTTCACTTAAAAGACACTGTCATTCATATAATACACAGCCCCCACGCTTCACAAGAAAGGGACCAGGCTTCAGACTGACCCACTTTTTGTTCCTCAGTGCTAGGGATCAAACCCAAGGCCTTGTGCATGCTAGGCAAGCGCTCTACCACTCAGCTCCATCTCCAGCCCTCTGTGCCACGTTTCAACCAATCCTTCCCAAGCTTTTCTCTATAAATAGCCCCCTCTATACTGCTGCCTCCAAGTACAACACCTTTACTTATTACTACTAGCTGGGAATACCCGGACCAACCCTGTAACTTGAACTGTCATAGAAATAGCTTAAATGGGGGTGAGACACACATAACATTGGTAGGCTTCCCTCCAACTCACTCCAAATGAGTCTGTATTTACTTCATACCACTTTCTGGAAAAGCAAAGTATCTGGGAAGGATTGCTAGAACTCAAGATGATCTCAAGAACAAGAGAGTGGGCTCCAACCTTCCCCTAGCCCTCAACATTTAAAGGGTCAGAGGAGTTCTCCTTCTTACAAAAAATTACCATCCTTAACATTTGTACTATTTTTCCTATTTCCATATCCATATGTCACTCAACGCAAAATTCCAATGTTCTGTGCAACTCCTAATGAAAAACACATTTTAGAATTTGTTATATCAGCTACTATTTGAAATAAAGCATCAACTAGTGTAGAAATCTGTTATACCATTATTTTCTTTGCAATGGCACCCAACCTGTCTCTCATTTATCCTCATTCCAACTCTTATGAGGTAGACAGGAAAACCACAGCTGAGTTTTTCTAAATCATGTAACTCACAGGTGACAGATCCACCCCTCCTCAGATACCTTTGAGCACTTCCACCTAGCAGCCAATGTGAATTATTCACTAGCAAGTGGGAGTCACACCTCCAACTCAGAACCCACTGCTGCATTTGGAACTTGCAACCTGTGCAGAGAAACCTCCCCACAACTCCTAACCCTCCAGAAAAGCCCAGATGAGAAAGGAGGCTCCTCGTGCATATAAATGATTCTTTATGCCCTTCCCCCATGCAATGGGGGGGTGGGGCAGGGGGAAGTCCCCGGCCCTCATGCAGGGAATGGGAGGTCAATGTATACTAGTCTTATTGCCAGATGCCCTGTGGCCATGGGGTGGGGGATAGGGGTCTACAGCCCCTTTCTTCTGGCATTGGTCCCCCATCACCAAGTCACCATGGTGGAGCCTGGGGGCTGGAGGCCCTAGGAGCTGAGGTAAAGACGGTTCTTTCCAGGGAAGAAAAGCTGCTCTCCCCTCCTGCTCAGTGGCCACCTCAAGATGAGTATGAGGAGCTGTCAGTGGGGGCTGGAATGTTATCCAGGTGTCTCTACCCCGTGGACAGCAGAGGCCAGATAATGTCTCCAGCTTGAGGGCGCCCAAAGAGATCCTCAGTGGTGAGAGCACCATGCCCCACCTTGTCCAGGTGGCATCTCCAGCAGCTATGAGAGCTCATCCCTGGCTGATGCACTGACTTAAGATCCCTGCTCCTGGAGTCCAGGTCAGACCGTGGTAACACGCATGACAACCTCTCGGCCAGAATGGGAACTGGAACGGGCATCTGGTGGCCGCAGCTGTCCAAGGAGGTGCAGGATTGTGTAACCACAGCGCTGAGGCAAGAGCGTCCGCATGCGCTGGGCAGCTGGGGGACGGCTGGTGGCCCCTGCAGGAGGGCCCGTCCGTGAGGTCCTAGGGCCTGGCTTCCCTGCCGTCCCTCCCCCTGCATCTCCTGCTATGTCCTTGGTCTTATCATAATTCAGGACCTTCCACTGCTGGTTCACTGCTTGCCAGCGCTTGAAGATTCGGTAGACAGACGAGCCTTCATGGACGATGAGGCCTGAGCAAGAGATATAAGAAATCTAGGGTCAAGTGCTGCCACAACCTAAGCAAGAAGGCCTTAAGTATGCATTTCTTTCTTTCTTTTTTTTTTTGGAACTGGGGATCAAACTCAGGACCTTATACTTTTGAGGCAGGAAGCGGAAACACTGAGCTAAATCCCTGGCCCTAAGTATGCATTTCTGAAGAGTTAGAAGGCACAGCTGCAAAGGACCCTGAGAAGCAGGGAAGGGAGCAGCATCAGAATAGCCTTAAAAGCCCTTAATAGCAGAAAACATGGCCATGAAACTGAGGGAACAGGCAGGGAAACTAAGTGGGTAAGTATGAGGAAGATGGTGAGCAGCTGGGAGACAGATATACCCTTACCTATGCAGACAACATCCATGAAGCCATACATGCCGTAGCAGATTTGAAAGAGCAGATCCTGCCGTTGCCACTTAGCTGAAGGGCTGAGTGAGGACCAGATGAGCCAGGAGATACTGGCCACGAGGAAGAGTGAGCCCAGAACTATGGCTGCAATCTGTACCTTCTCAATGACTGTCAGGGAGATGGCCTGCCACTGTGGGGGGAAAAAGTCATAGAAAGGGATGGAGGGCAGGTGATGGGGAGCTGTGAAGAGGCAGCTCCACGAGTCTTCCCAACACCCTTTAGGCAGGATTAACATGTTTCCTCTGTGCCCCGGTCAAACCTAAAATGAAGCAACTGTCTAACATTATTGTCTTATTTTATTTACTGATTGGCTGTATTGGGGATTAAACTCAGCTCTTTTTTATTTTTTAAACTACCTACACCATAGTGGTACAGGGAGGCATGGTGGTGCATGCACTCCCAGCACTCAGGAGGCTGAGGCAAGAGGACTGACACAAGGTATATAGTAAGTTCACAGCCAGCCTGAATTACATAGCAAGACCCCGTCAAACAAACAAACAAACAAAAAACCCAGTCTGGGCTCAAACTTGCCAACCTCATGCCTCAACCTCCCAGAGTACTGAGATTACAGGCATGTACCACCATGCCTCTCTTTATTTTAGAAAAGCAGGATCTGAAGCCAAAACAAGTAGGTCAGAATTTCAAATCTTAATTCCATCACTAACTGGCTAAGTAACTTTGGGTATTTCAAAAATCCCTTAGTGCATCAGTGTCCTCATCTGCAAAATGGGCATAACAATATCTAACAGGATTATTATGAAGATTAAAACTTACTCCAAAAGTTGGCATACAGAAAATTCTACGTTTGCTATCATCATCAACAACCTTATCATCTCTTCCTTTTTTTTTCTTCCAGTGTTTAGAACAGGGCCTAAAATACAAGTGGCACTTGATAAATGTCTTTGTGAATAAAGGAAGGACTTACAGACAAGAGACTGCCTTAATGGTGTGTGTGTGTGAGGGGGTTGCTTTCTGTTTGTTGTTTTATTTTGTTTTGGGGTACCAGGGACTGAACTCAGGACCTTGTGCTTGCAGCTTGCGAGGCAGAAGACAGCACCACTCACCACTGAGCTAAATCCCCTGCCTGGAGGGCTTTTTACTAAACGGATAAAATAGGTTCCCTAGAGTTTTTGATTCTGAGGGCTGAAAGTCCCTCCCTCCCCCAGTTTGCACCCTCTCTTTACAACTCACCTGCAGCGGGTTCTTGGTGCTGATCGCCAGGACCTGGTATTTGAAGTAGCAGAGTTCACAGCTCCAGGAGCCCCTCTCGCTGATCCAACGGATGAGGCAGGGCTGGTGTGTGCAGCGTACAGAGCCGTCGCAGCGGCAGGGGCTCAGGAGCTCCCCCTGGAGGAAGAGTAGGGAGGGGCCCTGTCAGCGATCACCACCGGACCCCACTCTGCCGCGATCCTGGAGAGGGAAACCTCCTCTTCAGGTCAGTTATTCTCTCACCTTAACATACTCAGGCCTTTCACCCCAAACAGGACTAGAGGCTAAGGCTGCAGCAGTGAAGGTGATGAGAGCTCAAGGAAAACTATCCATACTAAAGAGATGAGGTATGGAAGTTGAAGGGAAGACATGAGCTTTTCTTTTTCTTAAAATTTGGAGTGATAAGATTGCTCAAAGGGAAGGCTTCCCCCTAGAATCTGGAGGGAAGAGAGGACCAAAGCTTCTGAGCCAAGCCTTCCTTCCCATACCCCATCATTTAAAACACTGCACAGTATTTCACAGACCTGGGAGACTGGGATGGATAATGGATCTCCGCTTCCACATATTAAAAAGGGAAGAAACCCAGGAGGTGCTAGTGGAACAAGTCTGCCTTTATCAGAGAGTCACTTTTTACTACATAAAGACACTCTCTATCCCGGGACGACTCTGCCCATAAAATTTAACAAAGAAGTCTCTCTGGAATAAAGTGGAAACTTGCAGACCCCAAGTGTCAAGTGTCCCGCCAGAAAATAGTGGGAACAGATGTCCTGGTCTTGCTGCTCACCTCCGAAATAACTGGTTGCTCAGCCAATGGCGACCCTGGGGTCAGGGCAGTGGGCGACAAAAGCCATCCCCGTTAATGGACACGAGGGATCCTGAGCCCTCCCAGGGCAAGGCCCCACCCCTTCCAGGGGACCCTAGAACCCCAACCCATACACGCGCTCCAAGAGTCTCCCCAGCCGCCCGGCTTCACTCAGTCTCCACTCGGGTCCCGAGTCCCGCCCAAATACTCAGCCCCGCCCCCTGCTCGCGGTCTTTGCAGACGCCCCAGGTGCGCGCCCCCACCCACCCCTCCCGTGCGCCAGGTGCCGGGAGGCCCCACCCCTTCCAGGGGACCCTAGAACCCCAACCCATACACGCGCTCCAAGAGTCTCCCCAGCCGCCCGGCTTCACTCAGTCTCCACTCGGGTCCCGAGTCCCGCCCAAATACTCAGCCCCGCCCCCTGCTCGCGGTCTTTGCAGACGCCCCAGGTGCGCGCCCCCACCCACCCCTCCCGTGCGCCAGGTGCCGGGGGG